ACGTTTCGAAAGAAACGTAACGTTTGCTGTCAAAACTCACTACGAGTACAGAAGGCTGAAGGTCTGAGAAAAAGTACCAGGATCATATAAAACAGAAGAACTGTAAGAATGTATACCAGACGTAGTTTTATCACACAACGCATGAATGCGTCGATGGCACATCGTATTGAACAAAAATAACAGGGTCGCATAATATAGGAAGAGGTGTGGGCAGCGCCGAGTACCGCGTATAATCCTTGCTTTCTGTGCTAGTAGTGACTAGTGAGTTAGTGAGTGACTAACATTAACAATAGACTGACAAAAGCGTTAACTGCACATTTTAATGCCAAGATAAGAAAGAATGACAAGACACGACACACGACAATCTACACAGATAAATAAAATTGGAGTTTCTGTTTATAATACTAAAATAACCACCAAAATAATGTAATAATGTTATTAAATCGGTCCAATAATGTTATTGGACCGATTTTGACGGGATTTTTATTGGCAGCTATCTTATAATTTAAAGAAAATCGCCATCGCTTATGATTTTGTATCGTGGCTTTAGATCAGGTGAGGTGATGGTCGACGCCCACTACACTTACACGCGCAGCGACGCATGCGCCGAGTGCATGTTATTTGTACGGGAGTCGGCGACGAAGACCTTGAACGACCGAGCCGCCGCGTGCACGCGAGCTGGCCTACGTGATCGCCGAGAACCGCCGCACAGTGTTTCTTCCACCCGCATACGAACAACTCCAGTGCTACTTCATTTCTCTCTTTTCATTTTTATTCTCAGTTTTCATTTGTATTCGCTTGATATACAATTGCTATTAATTTCAATAATATTATATTTGCTATCATCCTTCTCTGCCGCGCTCGCTTCACCTCTGTATTGCTCTGAGCCTAAACTTTCTGGTCTAACTGAAATAAATGATTTTGACTTAGACTTTTAATGATAAAGTAAATAAATATATCATATACAAAAACGTACCGCTAATACTTAATTTCGGGATCTTAGTATACATCACTTATGTATACTAAGATCCCGAAATCTTAATTTTCATATTATATAAAATTATTTTATTGTTCAACGCGACTCCATACATACCTCCTGCAGCGAAATTCGAAATTTGAAGAAGCAAAACGAAACAAAACAAAACGATGTAGATCGTAAGACAATAACAGAAAAATTATCTTTATACGATCAATCGTAAGGTTGAATTCAAACTAGATACTAAATTTTGATGATTTATGACTTTATTATTAAGTGCCATGGTTGTTATTAACCCGTCGAGCGTCCGCGTTCCTTATGATCCAACGGGTG